TTTCTAGTTTTATATATAAATATATATATATATATAAATATAAAATATAATATAACTATTATTATGTATTTCGTTGTCAGCGTATTTTAAACGGTATTTATCAATGGATTCGCAAAGGTTTTCTCTCGTGCGAGGATGAAACGTTTCATTTTGTATATGCATCGTAGAATACTCCTATATAAATGTGTATATAGAGTTTCAGAGGGACATTAAACGGTAATTAGACGTTTTATCAATTCGTTACGCGGTACGGCGAAAACTTGTTATTTGTCTCTGTACGGATCAGTTTCATGATTAAAAGGAAGCCTCTCGAACGAAGGGAGAAAAGGAGAAACAACTGAATTGCAGCGTGAACGCGATCGATATTATATCATTCCTCTGATGTTTTATTATTAATCTTAAACCATGGTTCGTTAATTGTATCCGAATCGAATTATGCTATATTAATAACGAAGAGAGAGAGAACACACGTGGTAGGATATATACAAGATTTTCAAGTAAACTTAACGCTTAGGTTAATCAATTAAACATCAGGGCTGCGTTTATTGCGGCCTGCAGACTTGTTAACTATTATAGGTATATAGTAGGTATATATATACCTAACGTAGGTATATATATTATATTATATATCAGTTTAAGCAGTGTACTTAGGGAAAAAGCAAAAAAACAAACTGTTGCGAGGTGCTGCAAGTTTATGGATTTTCGAATCTCTCTTTTTTGTTTTTTTTTACTTCCGATCGTCATTGGACTCGACTTCGAATCGTACGAAGTAGCGCAAAGTTTTTTACACGTATACACGCGAGTTTTATAAACGTCTGACTTAATCGAAATGCTTGGGGAACGTTTCATCTGTTACTGGAACAGCTTTCGCACCTACATTTCAAGGATGCTACGTCGCGTTTTCTTTATACACAGACACAGCTCTACTGGACCTCCGTGCGTGGAGCCCCATGGAATCTTTCGAGCATTGTCAGATGTAAAAATTTTTATATTTATAATGAACGATCGTTTTAAGTTGTAGGGCATACGGCAGAATGTTAACACGTTGAACGCCGATTTCATAGAGCAAAGTGCGCGAAATGGGAAAAGTGTAACGTTAAATTTCATTCAATTATTATTATCGCACGTTCGTCTAGCCGAATATCACCGTATTACGTGGCATTGTTTATAATGTAGAAATATTTTCGCATAATCATCGTTTAATCGAGCGAACTATGGTAATTTGATTTGGTTACCGGTGGTCCTCGACGTTGAATGGCGTTCAACGTGTTAATTGTTAAGATTTATCGCTTGGGTGCAGAAACGAATATTTCGAGAGCAACTGTTCGAGACGAAGGTGCGCGAATCATTCAGTCACGTGTCTGGAATATTATTGTATTTTATAGGGAAACGGAACGACAGGTTAACGGTGGACATTGGAAATATTTCGACGACGTGGATATTGAAATACTGATCGCTGACGGGAATGTAGATAATTAATAAATATTAGCAGGACAATGGAACGTTTTATACGAACGTGTGATCGAGTAATGATTTGTTTTTTCCACGCGATCGACGAACAATAGGAAGTAACGCACACTGCCGACTTTTTATACCGTAGTTGATGTTACTGCTGCGCAAACGAAGGAGCTGACACTTTGCACTCGAGTTGCGGAATTATAAATTTTTGAGAGTACCGTTGATCTTTGTACATTGCATCGATAGCTCAAACATTGAGATAAAGTACCTTTGTTCCCGAATTTTCGTATGGTTTCTTGATAAATGAATTTTAAAGAATCTTCTACGCTCGATTGGAAAGTATCTAATATCTCGAAGAACCTCCGAGTGCAAAGGGTTCAGCGTAAACAATTGGAATTCCGAGTACTTTGCGCGAAATAAGTTTGTACGAGAATTACGGTAAAATTGAATTACGACTGCGCATCATTACGACTGATAACGTTTAATACCGATTTGGATACCTTTTGACTAGAAAGCGTGCACTGAACACAGGATGCGCAACATTTATCAACACCTCGAAGGTATTGTTTGAAGTAAACCGTTTAAGAGAAAATGTGAGACGATGATGAGAAATACGAGAAATTGGATTGTTCCCTAACAGAAAGAAAGATAAGAGTGGTTTATATGGAACCATTAATTAATTGATTCGTTTACTTGAGACAGTACGCTCGATTAACGAGAACGATACATTAGAAGTTTAGAGCTAGCCACGAATTTCCTGATTAGAGAGACTCGCATAAGTATTTTGAATTCGCTTGACGTTCCACTTTCTTTTCCATAGGAACAATCAATAACAAATGACAACGGTTCGATCACTGGCTGGTTTTTAGGCAGCTAATTAAAAAGAAAGAGACGAATTCCTAAAGGCATTGCTTCTACGTGGTGTATACATATTATACATACATAAATATTCTATAAATACAAATATAGATATGAATGTACATTTATATTCATATTTGTATTAAATTACATAGTCATAGTTTTTGTACAAACGTTTGCGTCGCTGCAGATTTTGTTCAGCGGAATCAGTACTCGCCTAATTGCATTTTATAATTCCCCCGATGTCCTTCCTATTTTCCATGTTTGTTTAAATATATCATTTGATTTATCGATTATGATGCCTTCATCATAGTTCTTTGAATAAAACATATTAATGAACTTCAACGTTGTTGTTTATGTACCCTATTATCATCCTGGAACAAAGTGAAGAACTGAAGCAATTAACACGTTAAGCGCCATGTCAGTCACTGGTGACTGACGCTTCTGAATGACTAAAAAACAATCGTAACATACAAGACAACCGATGTGAAATAAAAATGTTTAATAAAGCAACTCAGTTGATAATAGTGTAACGCAAACGTTGCAACGCCAAACAATTCATAATTATTCATATCTTTCTTTGCTACAAAAGACAAACTCTATGGGAAAACGCTTAAGATTTTCGTGGCGCTTAACGTGTTAACAGTTCGCACTCGATGCCACGAGAAAGTTTCGAATATTATCTTATCAATGAGTAAGGAACATTTTTCGATTACTGACAGTGGTCAGTGATTAATCATGGTAACGACGAAATTACATCTTAGCAACGCTGGTTGCAGATTGCCAGGGGCTCGCGGATGCGTATCAATGGCCGCCACGCTTTAACACTAGAAATACCGAGCACTGACATTGATTTTCAAAAATTTCTTTATAGAACCTTTAAGAGTGCATCTATTGAGACTTTAATTGGTCAATAATTCTATTTGTGTATTGCAAAATCAGTCTCTTTGATAACTTTCAGAGAAGCATCTGCTATATACGCTCAGTGTTAACTCTTGAATTTTATTGGAAATAGAAACAAATTAACATGTTCGTTAGCAGCGATTATTCCGGCGACGATCTCAATTACATTTTCTTCAATCCAATAAATCTGAACGAAATATTAGAATGAAACTGAAACGAGTCATTGAGTTCCTAAATATAACGTCGCAGTTTCTCATTTCTAACAAGAATATGTATAAGATTCATTTCATTTTCATTAAGTCACAGATAGGATAGCCAACAAATACGTTCGCTGGTAGCGAACGTATGAATATTTGAATTCCCATTATATCATTCCTATATTATAAAAATACAATATTGTAACTAATTCATCAGTTGGTCGAATAAACAGCCTGCCAAAGAGAACCATCGTGTCTTCATTACTTTCAACCATCAACATCCTTTTACAAACAATTCAGCCGATCTACGTGAATTTCGCTGTTTTTTAAATAATATCTCAAACTGCATAAAAAAATAGTAAATCCATAAAAAAACTAAAATTGTTAATTCTATATTTCATTACGGATTAAACGGATGTTACAAATTTTACAAGTTCGACTCGGTGGATTGGAGAGACACGCGTTACAAACGTTTCGATTTGTTTGATAACGAAAGAACGATAATTACGAGCTACACTTTATGTCATAATCATGCTTAATCGTAATTAACAATCTATGAAAATTTATTTCTAATGAATGAGATCAAATCGAGCGTTTCCCCTATCATTGTAATGAGTAAGACAAGGACAGGCGATTTTGTTAGCGCCATACAGTGGACGGGCGTTTTCGAAGCTTTTCCCTATACCTGTAATGTGTAAGACAAGGACGGAGATAATGTGCGACAAGGACAGAGATAGTCTCTCTCTAGCCACCTCCTTGGAAAAAGCATCTTATCAGTCCCTGGTGCGTATGCGTGAAGCATCAGGACCGAGGAGGTCGCAAACATGTCAATTCCAGTGTCGCCGTCTATCGGAATAACGCTAAAACTTCTAGGCAAATAGTACCAGATGAAGCCGCTAGATGGCGCAACAAGACGACTATCTCGAAAGCAATCAACCCATCAAAGAATCGCTAATAACTCATTAATTGCAAACCAAATGCGATTCGAAACGCTACTGAAATATTTTTAGAGGACCACTCTAATTTCTACAATAGCAAATACTCACTTATTATTCCTATTAAGTGAGAAACTTAATGATCAATTGGGCGCCTGTCAGAAAATTCTTGGTTGACTTGCGACATCGTTTAGGGTAATAATGTATAACTAATTAATGCGACGAAAAAACCCATCCAAAATGATATGGGAAAGTAGGCGAAGGCCCACTCTATGATTCTAAATTGCAAATATTCATGAATGATTCGTGATAGTCGAGTTATTAATGAATACGCTGTTGATTTCTCCATCCCCCACGGCGCGTGTAGTTCATAGCTTCCACCGCTAGATGGCGCTAATAAAACTATAATCCTAGAAACCTCCTTGGTCCTGATGCTTCGCGCGTACGCACCAGGGACCGATGAGATGCTTTTTCCAAGGAGGTGGCAAGAGAGAGACTATCTCTGTCCTTGTCGCACAGTAGCGCTGTCCGTGTCTTACACATTGCGGGTATAGGGAAAAGCTTCGAAAACGCCTGTCCGCTAGATGGCGCTAGTGTCGCTTGTTACTTGTAATTGGCGTGTTTGGCTACTAGATGGTGGCGCAATTCAGTTTGCGAGCACAGTTCTGTTCTTTGATCACTAATTAATTATCGTACTATTCCAGACAGTTTTTCCTTTTATTCTTCAGTAAGATTCATTGTTGGTTAATAAAAATATACTGATATTGTTATTATATAATAACATGAACTATTTATTTCATTGAATCTCGAAATACATTATTGTATCGGGTTTGTTGGTTTTTTATTTATACTTTGAACGACGGAGCGTACTAAAGCCTTTTAAATGTAATTTAACTAACGGAGAATACATGTATATTAATTAATGTTTAATACATTATCGACGCCTGTAAACGCTGTCTATAGTTAAAGCTGTATATTCTTATGTAATTAATCGAATTCTAATTGCGAATCCGATATAACATAGAGGTGAAGGAATTGATGATAAGAAAATTAAATATATTCATTTAAATCAAATATTATTCGACGAATGTTGCCCCAGTCGTTATATAATATTATTGTAATTTCGTGAAATATGAAAACACTCGAATGATTACAGGACTCATACCAACGGAATTATGACGCATGAAGTGCATATATTTTATATACATATATATTAAATATTTTATCAGCTGATGTAAACATCAGTGCCGTACCTATGGTGCGGTTAATTGTTGGGAAAGGTTGAAAAAATAATGAAATTTGTTTCAAATATTTCACGAAGAAAAATACGTAGAGACTAAACATTTGTTTTACAAGATTGTGAAAGTGATAATGTTTATTGTGTCGAACATAAGTGACTATTAATTAAATTTTTGTACACATAAACTTGTCCAAGAAGAATACTAATTATTTTCAAATGTCCAAGAAGCGTTTCAACTTTTAATAATAATAAATATTTTTTTCATTTCTTGGTCTTTTTCAACTGTACTCTGTCGCTTAGTATGAAATTAATGATAAAGTTTCAATCATTTTTGGCACCCGATATATTTTTAATTGGTCGTGTATGTCGATTGGAACTACGCAGGCGCAATGAATCTCAACAATTCTCGGGAGGCTTTATTAACGGAAGTTTAGCCGTCAATTCGTCAGTATTTTCGGTTGCGACGAATACCAAATTTTTGACGCAATAGTTCCTTTGTTTATAATTTACTAAAGTTTCACATTTAGAAAGGAACTTGTAATTTCATTGAAAATGTATCGTCTACTTTTTGGCCTGTGTGCTTTCTTAGCACTGGCCAGCGCAAATTTTGTAAGGTAAGCAAAGTAATATTCAAACAAAGAAAATAATTGTCCACTGTATATTTCAATGTTTCCATACTATACACATATAACTTTAATTACAAATCCTTTAATAACCAAGTTCCTGGTTGCTGATTTACAATTCTGTATATTACCCCTTTTTCTTTAAGGATTCCATTGTATAAAATGGACACTGTTCGTAAACAGTTAAAGGAAGTTAATACAGAAGTAGCTCAGGTGCATCTTTTCGAAGGATCAGGCGCTGTGCCGGAACCTCTCTCTAACTACCTGGATGCCCAATATTATGGACTGATCAGTATTGGAACTCCTCCACAAGACTTCAGAGTAGTTTTCGATACTGGTTCCTCTAATCTGTGGGTTCCTTCCAAAAGTTGTTCTTTGACCAACCTTGCTTGTAGTAAGTACACTTACAAATTACATAAATATTGCTATCGAGACTTATTAATAGAACTTTCCCCGCCTGATGAAAATGCACATTAATCTTTATCTGTATCACAATGATGCTTTCATATTGATTTTTTGTAATGTGTGTCATTAAGATATAGACGTGCATTTACAATGTTTAGAATTCTTCATTTTCCAGATACAAATGACCTTTGCTCCATGATAAATTTTAAATACCATCATGTGACTGGTAGCTTATAAAATGATAACTTTTATTACATTTACATGCACGTATATATCTGTTGAATCTATGTGTTGTGCAGAGCTAGGTACTTAGTCTGTAGGATAATGCAAAGGCAGGAGAGGTACTATAGTAGCTTTATCTAATTAGTTTGTTACATGATCTCATTTATTAATATTATTATATCAACCAACAAGTATTAGACCTACATTGATTTCTCATACCAAGTTTCCAACTTTGGCATAGTACATAGATAAGATTTAAGCTAATATTTAAGACGGATAATATTTTTAAAAATTGCTCCAATTAATAAGTACTTCTGCATTCTCTTTTGTTCTCAGAATTGCATCACAAATATGATAGTAGCAAATCAAGCAGTTACAAGAAAAATGGGACAGATTTTTCCATTCGTTATGGCTCTGGAAGTCTCTCTGGTTACCTATCTACTGATACCGTAGGGGTAAGAATTTTGCACTGTACACCTATGTTATCTACAGATCTTTTTATTGTCTTTTGAAATCATTTACATTTCTCGACCTATTGGGAGGAATAATTTTGCATATTGATTCACACGTGGAATAATAATTGCGTATTACAGATTGCTGGAATTAAAGTTATGGATCAAACATTCGCAGAAGCAATACGCGAACCTGGTTTAGCTTTCCTTGCTGCTAAGTTTGACGGTATTATGGGAATGGCTTATTCTAAGATCTCTGTGGATGGTGTAACACCAGTTTTCTATAATATGGTCAAGCAAGGATTAGTACCTCAACCTATTTTCAGTTTCTACTTGAACAGGTATACAAGTTTTCTTTAATAATCAGTAATCAAATTCTCTATCATGGTAATATCGAATAATACATCTACAAACTTATAAACTCAGAGATCCTAAAGCCGAAGTTGGTGGAGAGATGCTCTTAGGTGGTTCAGATCCAGATCATTATGTAGGTGACTTCACCTATGTTCCTGTAGACCGTAAGGGTTACTGGCAATTTAAAATGGACAAGTATGTTATGCAAAATGTCCTTAAACTAGACCGTTTTCGTAAATAATCGTTTCTATAAAAGAATGTCTATAATTTAAAATTTACATTTTAGAGTTACAGTGGGTTCTGATGTTACTGTATGCCAAAATGGCTGTGAAGCTATTGCTGATACAGGCACCTCTTTGATAGCTGGTCCCGTTGACGAAGTTAAGGCCATCAATAAAAAAATTGGAGCTACACAAATTATAAACGGAGAGGCCATGGTAAATACAAGTAATTATACATGAGATTTACATCTACCGTAGGTTTATAATTATTTCATTTTTACAGATTGACTGTAATTTAATTCCTAATTTGCCTGACATCACGTTTACCTTCGGCGGGCGTGACTTCTCGCTGAAAGGAGAGGACTATGTTTTGAAGGTAGAATCTCAAATGCATCACAAATAATCAAGCGATCAAACTAATTTTTCATTCGGTGACAATTTAATACTTCTTGCCTTTTCAACAGGTAACAAGTCTCGGAAAGACAGTTTGCCTGAGTGGATTTATGGGAATGGACATTCCTCCGCCAAACGGTCCGCTATGGATTTTGGGAGATGTATTCATTGGTCGTTACTACACTGAATTCGATATGGGAAACAATCGTATCGGTTTCGCCCAAGCTAAATAAACGCGTTAATTCAGAAAAGATTCTATGGTGTGTACTTATTCCGCCAGTACACTTATTTTAGTACAACTAAAATTGGTTTTAAACTTCTATGTTAATTGAAATTGCATTTTTGTGCCACTTATGAGTACCATATAGTAACTATGATACGATTAGCGAGCGTTAACGAGCAATAAATACTTTATTGTAACAATGCCTGTAACGAACAAAAAATTTGCAAAGGATAAAGTTATAAGTAATTTTTTTCGTGTTGTGTATTCTTTTGTATATATTTGAAAAGAAATAAAGGAGAAAATCTAAAATACGACTGTTGAAACTTATTTTTTAACATCCCTTACCTAATAATAAAAGTAAGAATTCTGTAATTTGTAATTGGTACTTATCATCACAACCTTGTATAGAAATCTTAAATAAATTAAGTCTCCAAATATAATTTGTACATCGTATAAAATTCTACTATAAGTAATAAAAGAACTGCATGTTTTCTTATTCAACTCATTTTTTCACAGCATGAATTGCATAATTTATTGCTGTAGACGACGTCCAGAACCATTCATTCTTTAAAGGGTTGTAAAATATTCCATGAAGTAACTTTGTCCTACAGCCACCTGTAAAATGCATAATGTTAGCAAACAATATAAGCCCTTAATAGAAATAAAAAGATATTATCAGTAGCAATTATTCTACATGTTTCTAATAAACGTTGAATTTCAATCGGAGTAATAAATTTATTCCAATTGTGTATTCCTTGTGGTACTATTTTCAACACGTATTCAGCAGCAATAATGCCTCCAAGCCAAGAAGATAAAGTTCTGTTCAATGTTGTGAGAAATATTGAACCACCAGGCATTAATGTACTTACACAACTCTGCAAAAATAGAATATAATATATTTAAACAAATCCGCTAGATATGCTTTTAACAAATGTATAAAAATAAAGTTACCTTTAAGAACAATTCTTTATCATTTACATGCTCTATTAATTCAGAAGCTACCACCGCGTTAAACTTTTCTTTATTTTGTGTACAAAAATCTTCTATAGTCGTGTGAAGGTAATTTAATTTTCCATCTAAATCTGAATCTAATAATGCATGTTGTTTAGCTATTGATATCAACTCCGAGGATGCATCAATTCCAGTGACTTCTGCTCCTATTCTAGCCAATGGTTCTGAAAGCAATCCTCCTCCACATCCAATATCCAAGATTTTAACTCCATTCAAAGGCGAATGTGGAGTTTCCACTTTTGTGCCTGTATTAGCTAAACCATCTCGTATAAATTGCACTCTAAGCGGGTTTAATGAGTGCAAAGGGCGTATTTCTCCATTTACATCCCACCAAGTATTGCTTAGTTTAGAATGATGCTCTACATCACCAACATCAACAGTTGATCTTTTACCTGTTGCGGATTTTCCTGATTGTTCAATTTCTTCGGTTAATCTAAAATATTGAATCGAAAAATACTATTCCCAGTTTCAATAAAAAAAAAAATTAATATTAATAGAAATACGAAATTTATAGGTTAGATACCTGTTCCAAAAAACATTTCCCGTGCATATGGAACGAGATGATACAAATTTCGGGATTTTCATCATTTTTGATCTCTAAATTAGCATTAGAAATTTAGTAAATACGCATTAAGTCTTTGAACACGTATACAGACAAATGACGTATGATTGAACTATGTAGAACGTCGTGTTGTGTTGATAATGCTCATAAATATTAAGTATATTAATTAAAATTGATTAAAAATAGTGTCATTCGATTTATCACGATCGATAAATGAACAGATATTAAATTTCGAGATTAGGTCACACAGTTCAAGATGATTTTATCGATCGTATAATAATTAATTTAGATTCTCTTTACATGCTTTTCTCTGTCTCGGCCTCTCGAGATCATTCATAGATATATTGAAAACACAATGCTATTACTAACGCGAAAGATAATAATTTCATTTATTTAGATTGAACTGGATCAAAGAATAATAATTATTTTGAAGTATCGCTTATCTGATCAGAAGATAATTGAAATTACGTCAAGTAGTCAATCTGTGCGGTCATTAATATTTAAAATAATTATTTTCAATCAAAAGACTGTAACAATTAATATAAAAATGAAGTTTTATTTTGTTGTATAACGTTTCAATCCATATAGTACATCAAAGAGACTGTGTATATAACATTATAATAAAAAAATACCTGAAAAATGTATGAACACAATATTGTTATAATAAAGACATCAAGCTTTTCCATGAAAAGTCGTTTTGCCCATCGCACAAATTTATTATATTTTTTTCTTCGACCAAGTTAAATAATTTTTTGAACGCTGTGTACTTCGATAGAGTATATTTATCCACGACGACAATTAATTTATGCTTCGCCCTCGTTATGGCTACGGTTAATCTTCTATGATCCCCCAATATTTCAAGGTCCTAAACGTAAAAGATTTTAACTTAAATTTGGTTATGTAAATACATATAAATGGGTGAATTTTCAGTTGACATACCTCTTTTATGTCACTGTTATCGGATAAACTTCGCGCACAAGAGTATATTATAATATCCTTGTCACGTCCTTGGTATTGATCAACCGTATTCACTTCGACATCTTTATTAACAATTTCTTTCAATAAACTAACATGCGCTCTGTACGGTGCAATTACTCCTACATTCTGGAGTTTCACACCTACCTAAAAATACAAACATCCAAGATGAAAGTCATTACCTACCCGCTGCCTGTTAATGATATATTAAATTGGATTAAATTTCACCTCTAACATAGTCTTTAATAGTTTGGAGATTATGGCAGCTTCCCATATATTAGAACATTTCTGATTTATTTTCGAATATTTATCGTTACTTTCAAAAGGTGTTTTCAAGTCGTTAATACACCCTGTATTCAAAATAATTACAGAATCATTTATATCTTGCGATAGCACCTTTTGTATCCACCTCTCTTGTTTTAGTAGATTCTAAAATACATAATATGCTCGTATATGTGCACTAAATACAACCATAAAAAGTAAAATTTTATGTATATAATGAAATTTACGTTGATATGTGTGGCGTTCAATGTAGCATTTTCAATTAACGTATTTCCTGCTTCTAACATGTCATTGTACGTTAATTTGTTCGCTAAACGCATAATATCTTTATTCATTCTATACTGTTTTGTTAACTTTACAGTATTATTGTCACTGTCTAATCGAGCGAACAGAGATTCGTCTGCACCCAATTTCCTGTGAAAGCGATACAAAAACTATTTCATGCGAACACGTTTCTACAAAATTCATTCTACATTGTACAAAGAAATCAAGTATACCGTAACAATGTACCTGGCCACTTTACTTTTAATGATAGGTGGAAGTTGATCAGGATCTCCCACGAGAACAAATTTACGTGCACTGTACAAAGGTCTTAATACTGCTGGCTGCAACGCTTGAGCACTTTCATCCACAACGCATACGTCGAACGTTCGTTTACCCAGAAGTGCATGATGGGCACCGTAACAAGTAACACCTACAACATTCTAAAATAATTAAAATTAAGATGCTTTTACGGCGATACCAAGAAAAGAATATCGTATCTTAAAACAATCTCGTACTTTAGAGGAATACACTTTTTCTAAACTTTCAGGTGAATCGCAGTTGGCAGTTGCATACGTTTCGCTCGCGTGCTTCAACGATGAATAAATAGATGAACCCAATCGTAGGAAGTCAATACCTTTGTTCAGAAGTCTTAATAAGATATTATCCACGGCGCTATTCGTGTGAGCTGTAATTAAAACAGAATGTCCTGTTGCGTGTAACAGCTGTATCAATGCTACTAGAGTTTGCGTTTTGCCTGTACCAGGCATTCCCTTAATTAAAATATAGTCATTGGCGGTCATTGCCTTCAAAACTGCTCTTTGTTGATTCTCGTTTAATCCTTTCAGTAAAGGCGCGGATTTGAATGTGATAGAATGCGGCAATTCTTTCACGAACGTCGCTGGTTTCCTGGTAAAAGTATAAAATTGATGATAAAAGTGAAAATATTTCTGTTATGAAACGAAAAAATTACTGTACCTACTTATCTATCACAATGTTTCGTAATTTTTCACATACTTCATTGTCACTCATCAACCCACCCACATTGGCAAGATTAAAAGAGAATAAGCCGGACGATGAATATTTATCTATATGAAAGAATTCGTCGATGTTGTACTTAGTGATGTCCCTAAAATTATATCGACGATTTTAGTATATTTCAGATACAATTCATGATCATATTTCTGCGTACCTATCTAATAAAACAGTCACAGAGTCTTCTTTTATGTTCACTATGAATCCTGCTGATATGTTTATTCTTTTGTTTGTGCTCACTAAAATGTACTCGTTTTCGGTGAACTCCATGGACAGGACAGCGATGTTAGAGTGATTTTTACTCGAATTTGCACGAACTAATGTATGTTGATACTTGGAATCGTATTCAACGACTTTTCCTATTACTTTCAAGTTGGAAATGCAAGTTTTCTTCGCCTCCCTAAAAATAAGGATTCATGTAATATGTTTAGACAAATTCTACGTTTAATTGTTACCTTTTTTCTGGACTTATCATCCACATATGTTTTATTATAACACCAGAGGATTGAGCTGTCTCCTCTATTTGTAACAACGAGACCCATTTCATGAGATAGTCGATATGAGCACTGCTGATTTTGTTTAAAATTTCTCTGCCAAGTTTCGTTAACGGATGCGATTCAGATAATTGCAGTCCCGTATCTCTGTTTAAATATGCGCAGCACAATGCATTGTAAGAGCATTTCGAACAAGCACTGTGATGATTGATTGGTTCTGGTAATTCTAATGTTTGCCCGTTTGATTCGGAAGCAAAATTTGACAACTTTTCTACTGATTTGGGAGCAAAGTAATTAGCTAAAGTATTTCTTAATAATACCAAGTCTCTTTTTTCAGGATGTACACCCTTGATTTCTTGCATATTGTTTTCCCTGTAACAAATTCATATTTTTTTTTTATATATATTGTATGTCCTGTGCAGATGTATTTACATAAATAATCGTATTACCTGAGATACAACAGCAGGCCTGTATCTGTATCTTGACCCGTAAGAGCCATCATCATAATATACAAAATAATTTGACCCCTATGTTCTAATGAAAATGAAGGTTTACCAGTCTTTATTTCAAGAGGCATGATTCTTCTATTTGAATTTAAACTAACTTCTACCGTGGCATCCACTTTACCTTTCATACCTAACTTAGGAAGCCAAATATTTTCCTCTATATCATATATATGAGTGATCTTTCCTTTGAAATTATCTTTTCTACTACTTATTTCTTGTTGTTTTTTATCTGAAAATGTTACTAGTGTTTAATAAGAAAGAAACATATTAAATAGATTGACTTACCTTTTAGATAGTGTTGAATAAATTCAGATATACGTGGTACAAGTGTTAACATTTGTTCCTTACATCTATTGAATTCAATTTCTGATGCATAAAGCGTATCAGTTGTTTCTTTGGATTGTAATATACTATCCATTAACTTTCTAATATCCGATATCTGACAAATATTTCTACTCATCGCCTATAAAATAACAATGTGTTGAACTACTGCAAATGTTATTTAAAATGTGATGCAAATAGCTACATGATACCTTTTGCAATAACTGATGGGCTAAGCTTCCTACAACTAAAGCTGTTTGATCACCTTTAAAAAATGGCAGTGTTTCTAGCTTCCTAAATTTCTCTGCTAATACTGCTTTTCTACTGCAAAATAAGGCTCCAACTATTGTTGTTCCAGATATCAATACATCTGGATGGACAACAAGAAAGCCACTATTATTATCCACAACCCAATGTGAGTTTTCTTTCCTTGCTTGTATAGCAACAATATCATTTTCTTCTAGCTTTGCGTCCTTCCTAAATTTAAATTTATAATATATGAAATATTTTATATAAATTGTCAACATATAATAATGATTAAACTTTGACTCTTGATTTTAACTCTTACCAAAAACCTGAACACAAAACAGTATCACTAAGTGCAGAATCTTCTTCATCTTCCACAGTTAACGATAGATCATTACATCTTCTTTCTATATGAGTGACTTTACATCTCTGCAAAGAATTAAAATTTAGTTGACTAACTGGAGACCATTCTTCCTCAAAGCAATCATTAAAATCATCTATAATACATGTTTCTAACACAGAATCAGACTTATCATAACATTTTTCTAATTCATCTAACTGTTTATCATCACTGTATGCATCAGCATTTTTTATGGCATCTTTATTATTATCTCTTATATAAGTATTGATAAAATTATTGTCATCAATGATTAATAATGCATTATCATGCCTTTGTGATTGTATAATCTCTCCGTTTGTTTTACATGATGCAGTTTCACAGCCACCTGAGCATAAATTTTCCTTATATTCCGCATTGATTATATTTTCCTTAGGAGATGCATCTTCAATGCCTTCTACTTTATCACAGAACATATTATCATAAATTATGTCAGACTCATCAATTGGTTCTTGCACTTTCCTTGATTTCTGCACATCAATTACACTGTCATACTTAACAATCTTTGGCTGATTTTCTTCCAATTTTGAGTCTTCTGTTACCTTTCTTTTTGTAGATGATGCTCCTGTGGATAAATTGTTTTTTTGTTTATAATTATCAATTGTCAGAGTACCATTCTTTTTTGATGCATCATCTTTAGAAGCCTTTGCAAAATATAATGATATTTTCTTTTGAGATTGCTTTGTGCTGTGAACTGAGTCATTCTGTAACAACCAAACTTCATTTATGTCAATAAAGAGAAAATTAATAAGTGTTGAATGAAAATGTTATTAATATCCTCTCCTAAAATTGTACACATATTTACAGGCTTTACCTTTTTCGACGTCGGATCAATTTTCTTCATTCTCAGTTGGAACATTTTAAATATTACACATCTTCTACAATAGTTACTTCGCGCGAAAATTCCACCTGAAATTAGATATTACACTGAGATGGGAAAGTCAGAATAATGCAAATAAGACCCTAGGGCAAGGATGCCACTCTCACATCGGTAACATTTGTCTACCAGTTTGAGCGTTTCGCCACGAATAGCGCTACCAGTCAAAAGCGCAGATTTCGAAAGCAGATAATTCTGTCCTACGAAACTTTTATAAGAACTTTTTTTGCCAATTAATGACTACCATATTTAAGCTTATAAAGATAGGAATTTTTGTTCCTACGTCTGTGGTAAAATTATATAAATATCCCGAGTGAATAATTAGACTCTTCTTATAATTATTATGTACAAAGCATTTACAAAGCAATCTACTATATTAAATAAATTAATTATCACTGTTTGGTTGACATCTGCATATTATAGAAATCCGCCTATTTTTTTGAATACGTTGACCTTTAAAATAAGATTCTTCATTCTTCAAAATTTCATGATTGTAATTGTACCTGGCTGTGCCACTGTAAAATAATAATATATAATAAAAAGATTTATAATAAAAATCAAATTGTTATACCTCATTATATATAGGGATCTCTGTGGGAGTAGAAAATCATCTTTGTGTGTTTTTTCATACCCAACCATTGTTAATCGCATTACACTATCGCTCAGTAAACTCAAGCCAGCAATAATTTCTCCACAAAACTAGAAAATAAGCAAAATGTTAGGCTTTCCTTATGCATAACACTAAGGCACATAAATTATGTACCCTAATACTGTCAACATGTGGTTTAATCCATCCTTCAGCTGCTAAATCCAAAATATGTATGAGTGGCAGTTGAAGCATATCCTTATGGAAAGCTTTTTCACGGATTCTGTTTATTATTTTTGAATTATTTTCATTCCACTGCTTTCTTTCTGTTTCTCTATAAGCATGTATTGCCTACAATCAATTAAAAAATGGATGAAATATTATAGGAGCTTAATAAGGTAGTAACATACTAACATCATCCCAGTGTGCCTCTTCGTATCGAAGTCTTTTCATATAAGGCTCAATCTCTTCCATTAAAGACTGCTCCTCATTGATGGAAATAAAATTTGGTATAATTTGCATTGTATTATGCAGCTGTTCTCTCCAATTTTCTAAATTTTGATCATGTTCGTTACTTAAGTTAGTTGTTCGTGAATAATACCTAAAATTATATGAGCTTGGAGCTTTAATGAAAAGGCTGGTCAACACGTGAATCCGGAGTTTCATGTTGGTTCCACTATCTTTTGTCCAGGAGAGGTTATGTACACTGCAAGTAAGATAAATCTAAAATTGATGCTAACGTAATATGTAATTATATTTATTTTGTTATCCGTATATTCATAATAAATGTATGATTTATTTGAAGGAAGTACCAACCAAAGATAAATAAGTACTATAAATACTTATAAGGAACTAAGATGAATGGATACGGTCCTAACGTGGTGATTACTTTTAGGTCTTAAGAACAAAATTGTAAAAATCATGTCTTTTATTAACAAAATCCGGTATACGTATCGTTATAAAGAATATGTTTGGAAACTGGGTCAATATCGGTGAAGGATTTAATGTCGATCGAATTGTGCGCGTCACATGCATTATTGCATTTACTTTCAGTTGGCGTAAGGCTTTATCGTCCAGAGACATTCTTTCATTAGAAAACTTGATTACTCGAACGTGTAAATTGCACATTAAACCTATGAATTCGAATTACGAATGGTAATCTATGGAACTGCTATGTACAATTTGAACCATGATTTCGACAGCGGTTAAAGATGCATTAGCTACAACAGCCTCAATTTGCACGGCTTTACAATTTTTAGCCGGCGTGTAAGTAAGAAGATGCATCTGCATATTTGATTCGTTTTAAATAAATTTCCAAAGTTCAGAACAAATATATCTGTATCCGCTTAATACAATTATTTATTTACTTATTTATTATATACAGACAAGCTGTACTTTTTAACTATGGCTAGAAAATGTTAGGTATATTTTTTAGGCTGGTGTGTAAAAAGATCATGAAAAATGGGTCAACAGGAAATAGCTCAGCCTTGGCATTTATAACATGTTACACATCGTAAGTATCAATCTAATAATATATTTATTCACTCTAGATGTATATGTTAGAAAAATCAAAGAAATTCTAAGCTGATTTACTCACACATAATATTTCAGATGTGTCTTATGGATGAGATACGGTATGCTTATCGAAGATCAATTTATATTGTTAGTAAATATTTTTGGAGCGGTACTTCAAGCATCATACGTTTATGTGTACATTTTATACAGTGTAAAAAGATTTAAAATTATAAAAGAGATGATAATAGCAACTTGTTTTCTCGCGGCTGTATACTTTTATAGCTTTTACGAAGAAGACAAGTTACTGGCTGCGAAATATGTTGGTTTTCTGAGTTGTACGGTAACAGTGTTATTTTTTGCATCACCTTTAATGATGATGGTAAGTTTTTGCTTTAAATTATTATTTAAGTGAAAGTTAATGATCTGAGACAAGTAATCGAATACACATAATATTTTCCAGGCACATGTAATAAAGGTAAAAAGTACAGAAAGTTTACCCTTTCCCATTATAATGGCTTCATTAGTAGTTTCCTCTCAGTGGTTCACGTATGGTTGCCTTCTTAATGATCGTTTTATTCAAATACCAAACTTTCTAGGCTGCGTGTTATCTGCATTTCAACTTTGTTTCTTTGTAATCTACAAGAATAATCAAATCACAGAAGCACACTTAATATAATATATTCTCTGTAACATCTTCGACGATATATCCAACACGAATGTAATATGATTTGTACTCTAATAGAAAAATATATTTTTGACATTAATGTTAATACTTTTGAGATGGATTTCTTTTCGCGCCAAAACTAGTTTCAAGTTTTACCACGAAGTGGCGCTGAGTCGTACTAGGGACTTTTATATAAGCCATAAAATTCCCTAGTATTAAATGAAAATATTGATTTACAATTTGAAATAGATTAACATTAAGCAACATGTTATTTTCACCAATATAATAACAATTACCATGTAAAAATGATTTTATTCATAAAAGACATGCTGTTTCATTGATTTCTGTATTTCCACGATAATTTCTATACACATTAATTAATTCGAATACAATATCGCTCTGTAATTTTATACCTTCGCGGTCTCCTTAACGTCTCATTTCTATTTCTACCGTCTCATCGTTCGATCCAACAAGTTTTTTTTAAAAGAAAGAGTAACAGACGCGTGCTAACCAATAAAGACAAAGATAAAATCACCCCGTTTTTCCCAAGCCGAACCCCTTGACTTTCACGAACATTAGCCTACAAACAGATCAATGATTTCTCAACAAAATACCATTTAATTTTTCCAACATGCTTGAGTACGTTTCCTTATAAACAAACATTACAAAACACACGTTAATTCGAAGAACCAGTAATACATTTGACCAGCGTATTACCTCCTCGTTTCTCTCCGATAACGATCAAAGAAGGCGGCGAAATTTCGTTAACGTGTACCGTGTGCTTAAAGAAAAATATTCCATTCAATTCGTACACCGTCGAAGCGAATATCTATTCGATCTTTTTAATTATCAACGAAATAATTCTCTCGGCGGAAGTCAAGCGAGCGTCTTTCAGGGACAAAAGGCATACCGGAAACGCCTGAAAAGCGCTGGGAACGGGCGTGATTGGTAGCACTGTTGGCTGCCCGAGGAGAAAGAGGTGCGGTGTTGCGTGACTGGCTGCGAGACGACCGAGAGAGCGTGTGTGTTTGTTGTGTTGTACAGATTTTTAATTCTTCTTTCTTCGGGAAAGAATCAGACCGTACGCTTGGAAGAGAAAATGTCGTCATATATCCAGGTTGCCGAGGACGAGGGCGACGAGCCGATAGAACTGCCGACGGAAGATGATACCACACTCTTATTGACCACCGTGACCGCCCAGTTTCCCGGAACGTGCGGCCTGAAATACCGCAATCCGGAATCACGGACGATGCGCGGTATCCGTCTCGTTGACGGACGTCTTCATCCGCCTGAAAATGGATGGGGCAAAGCAGTTTACTTTTGTGTCTTTCCGAAAGGTGCTTATTTTACTATAAATCCATACTACTTTCATGCCCCCCTCC